CTGCCAACACTTCCAGTGGTTTCAGTTCTTTGGGCGAAACGGCCGCACATTGTTTGGCCACTTCTGACAAGTTGTCGGCATTACGACCGGTGATCACCACTTGAGCCCCATATCGGGCGAACTCGACGGCTGTTTGGGCGCCGATACCACCGCTCGAGCCGGTGATCAGCACTACTTTACCCGCGAAGTTCTTTGATGTAGACATTAACACCGTTAGCACATACAAGTAATTAATAAGCTGACTTGGTTAAATAGTTTCTACCCGAATAAAATATATTACAACTATTTATATATCACTTAATTTAATGTATAACTATTTTAAGAATTTATTATATTTGATTTATTAAGAATTTTATTTAGTTATGATAATAGTAACGATAGTTTTCATACACTTGAAATGCACAATCATGTGAATAACTTATTATACTTATTAACTGTCTTTTGTCTGTGGAATAATCGTATAAGTTATACACAGTGTATAGTTGTGATTGCAAACACAACCAACCAAGGTCATTTAACATATTGATTTTATATATTGTTAGAATACAGTACACTGCAGAATATTTGTATACTGATTTATTTTATAATCTATCTGATTATAAACTAACAGCTTATATGTCAAACAATTTTTCATTTAATGTACTGTGTTGTTATATTTTATATAAATTTCATGTACTCATAATGTTCAATTGTACGTCAATACTTATAGAATCTATAATATAGATTGCCTTAAATATTGCTATATTTAAAAATATTATTAGAGATAAGTTGTTGAATTCAAACCGTTTGGGTTTTTGGCTACATTTTTGTTAAATTTTTGCTAAAAATAATTGAATTTGTATCACAATTGGTGACAAAATGAATGCATTTACATAAAATAGATAAATTCAGCCAACCATGTTATTAATTAATTATAATAAGCCATAAGTTTAATAAATTTTATTATTACTTCATGTACTGTTCGTAACATCAATTCAGAAACTTATCGTCATTGGACTTGAAATAATTATGTATTGTATTTATATTAAATCTAACAATAAACTCAATAGTTTTATTAAAATTCAATTAATTTAATTAATAACTATAATTAAAATATGGTATTAATATTAATTAATAGCATTTCAATAAGTAAATTATTTTGCCATGTGTCATTTATGCCGGCAATCGCTACATACGAGTCCCGTCTTTATAAGCTGTCCGCTGAAGAGTTACGCCACAGGTTTCGCCATAAACTCCAATTGAATCCAAGCGGTGACACCACTGATGACTTAGAAGTGGGTGAAGTAGTACGCGAGAAGTCGCCACCAGATGATAGCTGTGCCGATACTAGCGCTGGCGGTAAACGCCGTGACTATAGCGTGTGTGTCGGCCATCGCCCCGAATACTGCGGCCCGACGTCGGCTGTCGACCAGACTCTACATAGGACTGCCCGAAGCGAGTGCTCGCAAACAGATCATCGAGAAGTGCTTGAATGGTGTGAACCACTCGTTGACTGATTCGCAGATCCAGTCGTTGGCCGACCGAACCGACGGCTACTCGTGCGCTGATATGAAAGACTTGTGCCGCGAGTCGGCACTGAAAGCGGTCATTTAAGACCTCATCAATAATATGCGTTCAGTTTATTTAAATAATTGCAATGTTTTAATTGTTTTAATACTCAAAATAAAAATTCCTATTTAAAATTGAAATAATAATGATTATTATTATATAATATCATTTATCATTTTTATACTATTATTATTACAAATCACTGTTACTTACCGAGTTGATTATGCATGTTTTGTCATTTTTATTCAGCTAATTGTCGATTTATTTATTGAAATTCATTTATTGCATATCCTTATATTGGATTTCACATTTTTCGTTAATTCAATGAAATTAGAGACATCATGTTAATAGTGATTATGCATTAATGCAATCATTTGTTATTTTTAAATTTTAACAGCAATTTTGTTTTGAATTTTCTGTATATAATCATCATAATTTTTTAACAATAGCCAATTGCTATTAACATATCCAATTATATTTAATGCCTTGATCAAATGGTAGATATTATGATGGTAGAATTTTAATTAACAAATTTTAATTAATTTAATGTTAGGAAATTTTAATTAACCCTAATACTTTAAAAATCAGCAATCCAGATCAATTATATTCTGTTTTAAAGTTATGTTAAGTAATATCATATAACAGTGCAATTAATGCTATAAAAATAAATCAAATAAACTCGATTATTTTATTTATAAATATATTGTAAATACATTCAAATTAGCGCAAAATGAATTTTTTAAAATTGTATAAATTTTAGGTAAAATATTTGCTTTTATACAGGATATTCATAATATCTTATGGCAACGCAACTCATAGACCACCCACATCACACTGCAACATAGGGTACTGTGATTTAAGTAAAATGATACATTTGTTAAACATCTCTCATACGATTTGCCAATCATTAATGTTTGTGATACAGCTTAAGCAAATCAATCTACAAGCTTCATTTACTCTTTGGCATAAGTTTGTTGAGCTTTACATTTATGCCGAGTTTAGATTTAGCAAAATTATATAAACATTTTATTTTAAACGATATGAGTTTTTTCGTTTTTATATAACTTATAAGCTAAAACTATTATAGTTCGTTGAAAGTTAAATTATAATTGTTTTAAAATAAAACATGAATGATAATCAAACTGTTGCAGAGTCCGTATATGACCATGCTAACATTTTCATCAAATTCTATTCCATGTAAGTTCAGTATATTATTTATATACATTTGAAAACATTACTTTGATAATTTGTTATAGTTTAAGAATTACCCAACATAGTTGTACAATTATTTAAGTTAAATATCCATTTTATTTTTACATTTATTAAATGTGTGTTAAATTTACTACAATTTAAATGATTAGATGGACGTATCAACTGTTTATCAAAGGACTGAAAAATGGCATTCAAATCAATGATTTGGGAAAGTGTCCCAAAAGTCAACGAACGGAGTATTCATTAACTCAATTAGAGAAGTATATTATGTCACAAATAACTGTACAAACTATCATCGATTTAAGTGATATCCATATGTGGGGAATTGGATGTTAAGTGTCCATTCGGGGATATTGTCCGTAAAATTGATAAAAATCAGATCAAAATTTTATATTAACAAAATTAGGGATTTTTAATCTAAAAAGACATTTTTTTATTTGTCTAAATTGAAGTTGAAATATATTTATATTTTGGGTTTCAATTGATTTATCTCGTCATATTACATACAATTCTATTTTTACATTATTGCAATGTATGGTTTGTAAACATTAGGATTGTCTATAACTACAATACTTTAATTGGTACTTAAAATTTAGCATGGTTATAGGAAATCTAGTTTGATTTTCAGCATTTTGTAACAACAATTTCTTATGTTTATAATTCATACTAACTTTTAATTTATATAATTATTATGTTTTATTAATCAGAATTTTGAACAATTTTAATATTATTGGTTTTATAGAAATTGGGAAATTGAGTTATTAAGAGCTAATCCAAGTCTTGTGAGAGCACTGGTTAAGACATACTTACCGTATCTATGGATGCCATTATTATTTCAAATGATCCAGGTAGTAAATCAATTGTGATGGGAATATAAAATTAATATTGATTCAATTAATTATAAACCACAATCACATTCAGCTCTTGATAGAAATCTGTTCAGTCGTGTCCGTCAGTCGGCTTATCCGATACTTTTCGGCTGCGAAGTCGGATCCAAATGCCATGTCGTATATGACTGCGTGTGGATTTGCGACCACTATTGTCATCGCATCACTATTTATGGTCTTATTTTTTCATCCGTATTGTCTTATATGCTATAAAACAGCGGTCAAAATGAGGGTCAGTTGGTCTGCACTCCTATACCACAAGTCTCTGCGACTAAAGACCACAGCCTTTGAAAAGACAACTATCGGACAGATTGTGAATCTCATCACAAATGATGTCAACCAATTTGATCCCGTAATTATCAATTGTGTTATAATAATTGTAAAAATGATTATAAATAAACCATATATTTGTGACATCATATAGCTATTGGTTAATGTTATTGTTGCCATTTTATCGCCAATTAGTACCATAATCTATTTGTATATCAGTTGGCAATACATCGGTTCCGTAACTTTGGTTGGATTAGTGTTAGCCCTACTCTGTATTCCTTTAAGTTTTTTAATTGCAAAACTTTCGAAGAAAAATAGGTTTGTTTTGAGAGAAAGAAAGAAAGAAAGAAAGAAAGAAAGAGAGAGAGA